TCGGGTTAGGGTTTTTTGGGTTTTTCCGGGTGCCAATTTAACCTTTTTTTAAACCCAAATTGTTTTTCGCAAAAAACCCTTAATGACTTAAAATTTCCCGGGCTGTCATTTTTTTTAAAATTTTGGAAACCCTCCAAAAGCTGATTTTGTTGAATGTACGCGGTTTGCATATGTTAATAGCCCAATTTGGGAGTTTAAAAAATTTCCCAGATCGTCGCGTAACAAAATTTTGGGTTTAAAAAAATTAAAACTAAATGCACTTTTTTTTTTTTCCAAAAAAAAATTCTATTTTATTTTTATTTGCTGGAATTTTGATGTAAAAACACAAAAACAAAAACCAAAACTTTTAAAAATTTTTGTTTTAAATATAAACCTTTGACTAGCCCTAACTCTTAGTAAAATAAAAAGTAAGGTTTCCTTTACCCAAAAAAATAAAAAACCCGGCGCGGGGCATAAACTTTAAATACTTTTAAAAAAAATTCTTTTAAAAGAAAAACCAAAAATCTTTTGGGTTTTTTTTTTCCAGGTTTTTAATTTTAATTAAAAAAAACCCCCCAAAGAAAAAATTCCCACCGAAAAACCTAAAAACACCCGGGGGAGCAAAAACCCACACCGCTTTGGGTTTTTCTAAACGGGGGGCCCCCTACAGTTGAAAAAACCTGATTCGTTTTTATTTTCGAACGCTGTTTCCGAAACCCCAAAATGCCCAAAGGAAAAAAAGCCCCCTACAGAAAAGGGTAAAAACCTGTCTCAACACTTGCAAGCCCCCTTAAAAGGGGAAAGGGGAAAAAAAAACCGTTGGGGTTTATTAAAAACCCAATCAAATTGGCCCCAAAGTTTGGGGAAAGGGGTTTTTGGGGTTGGGGAATCAATTAAGGGTTAGGTTCCCCAATTAAAAATTTTAACGGGGCCCTCGGCCCCGGCTTCTATTTTCGTACCCGGGGTGCCGCCCGGGGGCCCCTAATTTTTCGAGAAAAAAGGGGCGCGCGCAACTTCGCAAAAAATTAGACGAGTAAAAACCGCCCAAAGGGGTTAATTCCAAATAGCCTTTCCCAGAGCCCCCTCCCCACCTAGGGGAAATTTAAAAAAAGGTCACGGGGAAAGTCGACAGTAAGTGATTAACCATCATCCATATAACAAAAAATTGTAAAATTAAAAAAACAATACATACAAAAAAATTTTTTATATTGTACCCCTATCACAAGCAACCTTAAAATTTTTTAAAAAATTTTGTAATTAATTTTAATAACCGGGGCCATAAATTTGGCATGGCACAGAATTTTTTTTTTTCTAAATTTTAAAAAATTTTTTGGTACCAAAACATGCTTCAAAAAAGTGTAAAAAATTTCAAATTTCCCGGGTTTAGCCCATAACGTCAGCAAAAAATTGGGGGCCCCTTTGTCCTTTGGCAAGATTTTAAAAAGGGAAAAATAAAAATTTCTTGTTTAAAAAAAATGCCAAATTTTGAATTAAACCCTTTCCCCCTGGGGGGGGGGGGGGGGGGGGGGGGGGGGGGCCCCAAAGAAAACCCAGATCGCCCCGGGGGAAATTAAAATCGAACGAGAAATTAGTCGAACGAAAATTAAAATCCCCCCCGGGGGGCGTCAAAAATTCATCTGATTTACCATCTTGGGAAAACTTTGGTGACAGTTTTTAACTGTCCCCAAGGGGATGAAAAACGGTTTCAAATTTGGACGCCGTTCGATCTAACCCCCTCGTTCGACCCAAATTTTCCCCGGTTCAAACCCTAATTTCCTTTCAAACAATTTCCCTTTTTGGGGGACGGGTAAGATTTTCCAAAAAATTTGAAATGGGTTTTTTAAGGGGCTTTTATTTTTAAACAATTCGCTCGCCCCAAAAAATTTAATCACAATTTTTTTTTGGGTTTTTTTATTTTTTTTAAGCCAAACCAAAACCCCAACCACAACCCTAACGACCCCAACCCTGAACAATAAAAATTTGAAAATTTAAGTGTAAAACGTTCTTTCCCCCCCATACAAATTAGTTTTGGGCCCTTTTCCCCAATATCGGGGCCCAAAGATACAGTTTTTGGGCCCAAAGGGTTTTAAAGCCTGTCTTTTTTCCGGGGCCGAATCTCTACCGGCAATATATATTTTACATTTTTAAACAAAAAAGCCTTCTCCCCTGGGGTCCCCAGGTAACGAAACAGCCGCGCACTTCGTGCGGGGGCAGGTCAATCTAAAAATTTACGGAAACGAAGAAAAATTATTTTCCCTACCTGCCACTGACCAAAACATTTTTTTTGGCCCCATAACTTCCCGGGGCCCGGGAACATTTTTTACCCTACGCCCTTAAAATTTTAAAAAAATTTGTAATAAACTTATTCCCAAAACCCCGCAAACCTTTTTTTTTAGGAAAAATTTTAAAAAATAATATTTGAAAAAAAAAAATTTTTTTCAAAAATTTTTTTTAAAAATTTCAAAAAGGGCACAAAGAGGACCCTTTCACTTTTTGGTTCATTTTTTTTTAAAAATAGAAAATAACGTTCCTTTAAATCTTGTCCTTTGGGTTAGGGACAAGCCCGGCGGGGCCGGGGGCCCTATTTTCCCACTTTTGTAGCATTTTCCTGGGGCCCCAAAAATTTCGGGGAGAAGAAATGGGGCCCGCGCCCTACTTCAAAGGTTTTTAGACGAGTAACATCCGCCCCAATTATGATATTAGTAACTGAAAGTTTTTCCCCCTAAGCTGTTTGCTTTAATTTGCGATGCCATAAAAAAAAAATTTGCCGATTTTTGGGCCAAAAAAACCATTTTTTAAAAATTTTTTAAAGAAAATTTTTTTTTTTGTTGGGCCTATCTTTGAAGACTAGATACTAAAACCCAACCAAGCCGCAAAAAGGACAATAGAAACAAAAAAAAACAAAATTTTTAAAACCCTTGGAGGATTTTCGCCGCTTCGCCGCGCAAATTAAAAAATTCCCTTATTTCCCGCTGCTCGGGAAATTACAAAGCAACGATCGGGAAAATTTTTGACATCGGCAAAAAAATCCTTAACCCTTAATTTCCCCCGGGTAAAATTTCAAAAAACTGGTAAAAAGGGTGCTTTTTTTTGGGCTTAATGTTTAAAATTTTGGGCCCTTTGGGAAACAATTTTCTGCATTTGTATCAAATCAACTAAAAATAGTCGAAAAAGCATTCGTTTTTGACTACCCCCTTTTTTTTCCTTTTTCCGAAAATTTTTAACCCCACTTGTTTTTTGTAGCGGGGAGGGCGTTACTGGCCGCGCCGCGCATTTAAATAACTTCTCACAGCTGGGGATCGGCGAGCGCTACTGCCCCCGGCCGCCGACTGCCATGAATTACATCGTCAATTAACCACTTAAAATAATTTTAATTTTTTAAATTGAAGTTTAAAAATAATATTGTAAAACCCTTCGCGCAAAAACCCTTCTTTAATTTATTTGTTATCAATGGGCCCCCGGGGCCCGCGCTTTTCACCCAAAATTTCAAACAGCTAAAATAAAATAAAAAAGGGAAGGGCCTATTAATAAATTACTTCATTGGACTATCAGTTATAGATTGTCAAAGTTTAAAACGAAATTTGGGTATAACTATAGAAACGTGACTAATAGGTCCAATTAAAATTTCTAAAAAATATTCTTGATCCTTACTGGACCCGTTGAAAACCCCTTTTTTTCCCGCGGCGGGGCCGGTTTGGGGGCCCCCTTTGGGCGTGCACGAAGAGGTATAGAAAAATCCTTAACGGTTACACATCATACTATTTGGGGTCCAAAAAATTTAAATATTTAGGCCTCCCCCTTTCAAAAAAAAACCAGAAAACAAGTAAAAATTTTTTCCCCGGGGGCGCCTTCGGCGGCGCCGCTTCCGCGCAAAAGGGGCATGAAACGAAAGGTCCAAAAAAAAGGGAAAAAGGGGTTAAAACCGTGTTATTAGAGGCTTTTTACGGGAATGCCCTGCTCCGTTTACGCAGGGCCCCCAATTACCCCTTTTCAACGTATTTTTTGGACCGTAGAAAACGTTTAAAAAAGGGTTTTCCGAGATGTTGGGGCCTGATTTTTAACCCGGGGAAAAAATCGAAAAAAAACCCGTTTTTTTGGGGAAAAAAAATGGGCCCAAAAAAAACCTTTTTTTTTTGATATTTTTTAAAAAAATTTTTAAAAATTTTTTTGACAGGTCGGCAAAATTTGCATGGAAATAGCAAAAAACACAGCCCACAAGAGGGTTTTAAAAATTTTTTAAAAATCCCCCTCTTTTTTTTTGGGCGGGAAAAAAACCCCAAAAAAGTGGAAAAAATTTTTTGCCCTTTTTTTCTTTGGTTTTTGAATAATTTTTTTCCCCATTTGAATTAAAAAAAACCCCAAAAAATTATTCACACGGGGTTTTCCCAAAATTTTTTCCTTACCCAAAAGAAACCCCCACTTTCATATACTTTATCGAAGTTTGAAAAATTGTCATTTTTTCCCGCAACGTTTTTTTTTTTCCCCAAAAATTTCCGAGCCCCAACTACGCGAAAAACCATTTAGGTTTTTTAAACCAATTTGGGCACCCCGCTTTCCCATCATAAAATTTCCCAAACAGCTATAACTAAACGAGATTATTCCGTTCAAAGCCCCATATTTTCACACAAAATAGAAAATAATGTGATTTTATTGCTGACAAAATATGAAAATAATTACTCAAATTTCCCTTTTGGGAAGTAATAGATTTGAAAAATTTTTAAAAACGCGATTGTTAGCATTTGGACTAATGGGGCCAAATTTAACTTCTTAACAAATTCGATCCTTAGAACATCATACTAGGGTGTCCAAAAAGCGGTTGGGTTTCCTAAACGCGTAGCAGAAAACACGGTCTTTTTTGCCCGAATAAGGCCCTCTACAAGGAAATTGGGGGACCCCTAATAATTTTCCGTCTGATCATGATAAACCCCAAAGGGAAAAAATTTGGATTTTCAAAATTTTTAACAGAATTTCCTTAAAAAAAATAAAATTTAAAATAAACACGAAACAAAAAGTTTTTTTAAAAATTCCAACCCCGGGGCAGGGGAGCAAACCAACCTTAATTTACCTAATGGGGGAAATTAAAAATTAGGTTTAATTAACAAGGCACAAAAGGATATAAATTTCAAAAATTTAAAGAAACACTAAAACCCCATAAAAAATTAAGACCCCAAATTTAGACATTAAAAACAAAAATTGGGTCTTTTCAAAAATAAATTAAATTACAGTTTTTTCCCTTTCAAAAAACCTATTTTCAAATTTTTGGGAAACCCAAATTTAACCAAATTTGGGTGTGATCATATTAAAATTTTTTAAACTTTCCCAAAAAAAAATCGGCTTAAAAAAAAAGATGTGCGAAAATGAATTTGACGGTTCTATCGAATTTAAATTTTGTTAATAAAGCCCAAAATGATGATAAAATTTTTGAAAATTTAAATTCTTTAAACAAACTTGCCCTTTAAACCCGGGGGATGCTCCCCCGGCCTATTTTAACACTTGACAATGCCTTTAAAAAATTAAGTTTAAATTTGCTTTTGGTGTTTTCATTTTACAATAACTGCCCCTGTTTTCCGCACAGACAAAGCCCCCCCCTTTTTTATCTGGCAAATTTTAACTGTTGACTTTAAAATCCCTAATTCGGCCCTGCACAAGGGATCAGCAGCTTCAACAAGAAATGATAGCCAAAATAACAGCAAAAAACACAATTCATACGTTGAGAGAAAAACCTAGAACACTGATTCAGATTTGGTACATTCTGGGGCGCGCGGCGCCCGGGAGTTTTAAGAAAACGGGGAAACCCGCCGCGCGTTTAAAAACCCCCCCGGAAATCTTACCCGCTCTAATTTTCCCCGAAACAAATTTCCTAAGCCCCACTTTGACCACGAAAAAGTCACGTTTTTAAAAGCCCTAAAAACCCGGGAAAAAACCCCCATCCTGCTTTAAAAGGCCCAACCACCACCTTTTTAATGGAAATCTTTGTTCGTTTCCGACCATCTAAAATTGTTAAATTTTTTTTAACGGGCCGAAAAAAGGAAAGGTTTATACTTTAAGAAAATTTTAAATACCAAAGCAAAATGTTTTAACAATAAATTTTAATTACAAACATCGCAGGAATGTGACAATTCAATTCAAATCAGAGCTAAAAAAATTTTAAAAATGAAATTTATTTAACCAATAAATTTTTGTCAAAAGGGTTGTATCCCCGCCGCGCACAAATTTGCGCGGCTCCCCCGGGTTACGTCCGAAGTGAAGGGGCCCAGTGGGGGCACCGCGTGATACAAAAATCAATGCAGTCAGGTAGTTTTGTTGTAAAAATTTCTTTGGGGAAATTTTTTCGAGTTCGGGGGATCTGGGAATTGGGAAATAAACCCCTGGGTTGTTTTTACCCTGGATTTTTAAAAATTTTAAAAATTCAACAGGCTTTTTGGAAAATTAAAAACAACCACGAAAAAAAAAAAAACCCCTTTATTTAAACTCAAATTTTTGACCTTCAACGTAAAACAGGGAATTTCACAGGGCCCCCAAAGCTAACCACCCCCGGGGAAGTATCAGCCTACCCCCTCTCTGTTTTCCCTTTAACATGTGATACCCCGTAAAATTTTTGGGTTTCAAATATTAGACCATCAAACGGTCCAAACCTTGGCGCCGCCCTTGGGTAGGCCCATAAACCTACAATGTACAGGGTGGGCCAAAAGCCCCAATACCCATACTTTTGGCCTTTATACTCAGCCCACTAAACTCCCCAAAAAATTAAAAATAATTTTTTTTTCTGGATAATTTTAGAAACCCACCACGTTTTTTTTTCCCCCAAATTAAATTTTCTTTTTTCCGGGAAATTTTTTTGAAAATTTTTGGGAAATGGGCCCCGGAAATAAAAACCCTTTAAATTTTTTAAATTGAAATTTGGTTTTTTTGGGGCCCCTTTTTTCCGAATTACTTTTTGGCCCCCGGGAAAAAAATTAAAAGTTATGGGCCCCCCCTTTAGATGGGGGCCCCGGGGGTTCCCAAAAAGAAAAAACCCAAGTTTTTTAATTTTGGGTTTTTAAAACCCAAGGGTTGGGCTTTCCCTTTAAACCCCACTTGAAAAGGGGGGCCCCCGGGTTTTAAAACCCCAAACCCCCCTTTTTTTGCCCCCCCTTTAGGGGAAATTTCTTTTTTTTAAAGGCCCTAAACCAAATTTAAAAAAGGTTTGGCCCCGGCCCCAAACGGGGGGTTCCCCATAAAATCCCCCCCCAATCAATTTTGGGTTTTAATTTGAAAACCCCAAAAAAATGTTTTTGGAAAAAAATTTTGGGAAAAATTTTTCTAATCGGTTTTCCCAAAAAATAAATTTTTTTTTTTTCCAAAACCCCAAAAGGGGCCAAAATAAACAAAAATCCCTCCCCATCTTCAGAAAAAATTTTTGGGGGCCCCAAAAACCTTTTTTTCCCCAAAGAAAAAACAATTTAGGGTTTTTTAAATTTTTTTAAAAGGGGCGGGGGCCCAAAATTTACCCCGGGAATTTTAAAAAATTTTTTTTTGGTGACGGAAATTTTCCTCCAAAAAAAAAAAGTAGGAAACGGGTTTTTTGCCCCCCCCTGCAAACCCCAACAAATTTTCCCTTTTATAAAAAAAAGGGCCCGGGCGGGGGGTTTAAAAAGGGCCCCCCAAACGAAAGGGTTTTTTTACGGGGGCCCCCCTTTTGGGGCCCCCCCCGTACTTTGGAAAAAACCAATTTCCCAACCACGAGGCAAAAAGGGCCCCCCCTTTCCAACCCCCCCCCCAAGGAAAATTTTAACCCCCCCAATTTTGGGAAAAGGGGGGAAAAAACCCTTTGTAGTAATAACTACAAAAAATTCGGGTTTTTTTTGGGGGGGGGGGGGGTTTGGAAAAAGGGGTAAAATTTTCTTTACCCCTTTTAAAAAGGGGGACTAAAAAAAAAATCCCAAATTTTTTCCCGGGGGGCCCCGACCCCAAATTTCTTTTTCGGGGGGGTTTTTTTTTGGGAATTTTTAAAAAAAGGGGGTTTTGATCCCCAACCCTTTTTTTTGATTTAACCCCAAATCCCTCAAGAAAAACTTTGGGGGGAAACACGGGGGGCAACCCCGGGAAAAAGGTTTTTTCAAAAGGGGTTTTTAGAAATTTCCCAAGAAAGGGGGAAATTTTTAAAGGGGACCCCTTTGGAAAGGTTTTTGGTTTAGTTTGGGGTGGGAAAAAAAAAAATTTTAAAAAAGGGGTTTTAAAGGTTTCCCCCTATCTAAATTTTTTTTAAAAATTAAAAAAAGGGTTAAACCTAAAAAAACCTTGTTGGGGGGGGCCGGGGGGTTTTTATTTCCCCTTCCCCCGGGAAAATTTCCCAACCCCCCCCAATTTTTTGCCCGGGGGGGCCTTTTGGCAAAAAATTTTTTTCCCCTTTTTTAAAAAAAATTTTATGAAATGGTTTTTAACTGGGGGGGGGGCCCCCCTCACCCCTGCCCAATTTTCCCCCCAAAAATCCCCTTTTTTTTTTTTTTAAAGGGAACTTTGGAATGGGTTTTTTAAAGGCCCCCCCGGGTTTAAAGGAATCGAAAAATAAAATTTATCCAAAAAAAAATTTATAGGGGGAAAAACTTGTTAAAAGGGAAATAAATTTGGAATAACTTTTGAAAGGGGGGGGAATTTAAAATGCAAAAAAAAAACCGCAAACGGGAAAAATTTTTCCCCTTTCCCCCCCAAAAGAGCAAAAAATTTGCGTAAAGGTCGAAAATTTAAAATTTTTAAAAGTTTTCCCCCCTTTCCCAACTTTTTTTGGTCGGCCCCCCCAAAAAAACCAAAAAAATTTTATTTCCCGGGAATAAAAAGGAAAAGCTTAGACAAAAAATTTCTTTCCCTTTATTTTAAAAAATTGGGGGTTTTTTCCCTTTTGGGGCCCCGGGGAAAAATTAAAGGCCCCCCCGGGCCTATTTTAAATTTTTTTAACCCCCCCAACCCCTTTTATTTTTTAACTAAAAGGGTTTTTACAACGAAACAACCCCCCTTTGGGTTTTTTTTTCCCAAAAAGGCATTCTAAAAATTTTTTTTTTTACGCTTCCAAAAAAAGAAAAAGGGGGGTTTTTTTGGTTAAATTTTCAAAATTTTTTTGGAAATTCCCCCTTTTAAAATTTTAAAGGGCCCCCTTTGAACTACGCTTTCCCTTTTTTCAGAAACTTTTTAAAAAATTTGAAAATTTTTTTCTTTTTAAATTTAAAATTTTAAAATTGTTCCCAAAAAAATTTTTTCCTTTTTCCCCAAAAAAAAAAACCGGTAACCTAAGGGGATACTTTTTAAATTCTTTAAAACCCAAAGGGGGGGGGGCCAGGGTTCCCCATCGAAAAATTTTTACCCCAAAAAAGCCCCCAAAACCCCCAAGGGTTTCTTTTTTTTTTAAAACTTTTTTTAAACCATGGCCCCAAAAAAAGGGAAAAAAATTTTCTTTTAACAAAGGGAAAATTTTTTAACTTTTTAAAAAAAAACCTTTTTTTTCCCCCCACTTTTTTGGCCCGGGGAAAAAACCTTCTTCCCGGGGCGAAAAATTTTTTTCCAGTGGGTTTAAAAAAGGCCGGGGGGCCCCAATTTAAAATTTGGGAAAAAGGGGCAATCCCCAAAAATTTCCCCCTTTTTTTGGGCGTCTTTTCCCTCAAAAAAATGTAAAAAACGCCCCCCTTTTGGGAAAATTTTTAAGTTTTTTTGAAAAAATTTTTAAATTTAAAATTTGAATCGGGGGGAAGTTTTTTTAAAAAAATAAATTCCAAAATTTTTCCCCCGCAAGGGGGTTTTTGAGGGGGGGCCCGCCCGGCTGAAAAAAAACCCTGGGGGGGGGAAAGGGGGGTTTCCAAATCCCCAAAAAATCCCCCTTTTTAAAATTGGGGGTTTTTCCCGAAACTAAAATTGGGGACTTTTAAAACAAATAAACCCTTAACCCCCAAAAACCCTTTTTACTCCTTCCCCCCGGGGGGGGGGATTTTTAAAACCCCAAAAAACAAAAAAAAACAAACCAAAACCCTTAAAAGGAAAATTTTCCACCCCCAAAACCCCTTGGGGGGGGGTTTGCCTAAAGGGAAAAACAAACAAAATCCCCTCCCCCCCCAAAAACCCCAAAAAAAAAACCCTTTAAAACCTTTTAAAAACCCCCGGGTTCGGTAAAAAATAATGCTGTTCAAAAATAAAGGGGGGGTTTTTAGGGAAAAATTTTTAAATAAATTGTTTTCCCCATAGGGGGGGGGAAAGTTTTTGGGGAAATGGTTACCCCTTGTTTTAAAATTTTTTTCCAGTTTTTAACTTTTAAAAAAATGATCCCCGGAAGGAGGGGGGGTTTTATAAAAAGGGGCCCAAAAAAAATGGGGGAATATAATTTAGGGAAAAGGGAAACTCAAAAAGCAAAAAAAACCCCAAAAGGGAATAAAAACACCCCCCCCTTAAAAAACCCATCCCCCCGGGGGGAAGGGAAAAAAGGGGCGCTTTTAAAAAAAGGAAAAACCTTTTGGAAAACGGGGAAAATTTTCCGAAAATCCCCAAAATGGTAAAAAAAAGGGGGACAAAAATTTTTTTAAAGGGAAGGGGCCCCCTTAAGGGGTTTTTAAAAAAAACCCCTTTTTTAAAAAGGCCCTTTTTTCCATTTAAACTAGAAAAAAACCCAAGGGTGGTTTTTTTTTTAAAAAATGGGGGAGGTGGGGAAAAAAGGAAAAAAAAAGGGGCCAAGGGGCCCCTTGGGAAGTAAAAAAAAATAAAAGGGGAAAAAAAGGCAAAAAAAAGGCCAAGGGGCCCAAAAAAGGAAATTTTTTTTCCCGGCAAAACCCAAACCCCCCCCGCCCAAAAAAAACCAAAAACCTCCCCGTTGGGCCAATTTTGGGCCCCCCCAAAACTTTTTAAAAGGATAAATACAGAAACTTTTTCCCTTCCCCGGGCCCCACAAAAAAGTCACCGATGGCCAAAAAAAAAAGTACCCCAGACTTTTTCTAGTTTAAAATTTGTGGGGGGGATTTCCCCCCCCCGAATTTTAAAAGATGCACCTAGTGGAAAAAATTTTTTTTCCCCTTTTTTAAATTAAGGAAAAAAAAAAACCGCGGGAAAAAAAACCCCACGATAATTTTTTTAACTTTTGGGAGAAATTTGGGGGCCCCCCCCAGGGCCCGGATTTTGGGGCAGTTTTGAAAAAAAATTTTCCACGTGGAAAAAGGGAAAGAGATCGGGGGAAAAAAGTCTGTATTTTTTTTTTTGCAAAGGGCCAAAACTGGCCCTAGTGGCAAATCGGTTTTCATGGTTACACGGAAAACACCGAAAAATTGGTTTGGAGACCTGCTAATTGGGCCTATTAATGGGGTTTTGGAAACCTGCTAATTTGGGGAATGCCTAATTGGTTTTTTTTGTTTTTTTTTTTGGGTTTGTAAACCTTTCTGAGATATTTCTAAAAAAAAAATTTTTAAACCAGCAAACCAAAATTGGGGGGGAAAAAAAAAACCCCTAGGCCAGGCAAAAGAATTTTCGAAAAAACAAGGTAAAATTTTTTGAAATTAGTTTTTCCCTACTTAAAAACCCCCAAAACCCCCCTCCCTCGGCGATTGCCAGGTATATTTAAAATGGGGGGGGGACCCTTGCAACTCAAAGACTAAAAAAGCCCCTAAAACCAATGGGGGGGCCCCATTTTTTTAAAAAATTTTTTACTAAAAAAACCCTCCTTAAAAAAAAAGTGGCCCCCCCGGGGCCCCCCGCCCTTTTTGTTTCCAAAGAAAAAATAAGAAGGGACGCAAACGAAAAAACCCCGCGATTGGGAAATAACACGCCCAAAAATTAACAGTAACAAGCCAGCGACTCAAATTTCCCCCATTTTTTTTTTCCCCACACTTTTAGCCTACCTTTTTTTTCAAAGGCAGAGAATTCAATAAAGCAAAAAACCCTTTTTGGGGAAATAAAAATATTTTGTTAAAATATTTTACATTAAAATAAACCCGCCTCGGCATGCCAAAAAACCACAATGAACCAAAAATACAGCGAAACGGAACACCAAACCCAAAATCCCCAAAAAACATGCCCAAAGAAAACCAAAACCAAAATATGTTAACGATGCTGAGATTGCTGACACGGATACGTATCTCGTATTTGTTCTTTTGAACATTTACGATATTTGTACGAAAAATGGATTATTTCTTGAAAATATTTGAATTGTATCTGTGGAGAGTGAAGGCTATGCAAATGTCTACATAGTTTAAATGTCTGCATAGTTTAATCAATTGATTGCGAGTGAAAATATAATTTGCTTTTGTATACATTTGGAGTGATAATACCACACTAATGATTCCATCAAATATCTCCAGTTAGATAACATGTGAAATATGCTGATGGTTTACAAGGAATCAAAGAATTTACGTGTTTTTTCCCAGAAAAGAGAAAATACCGTACGATATTTAATTGTGCATACGAACACAAATCAAACGAAAATGTGAGACAAAAACATGCAGGGAAAATTGGATGTAAACAACATGCAGGTGCATCATAATCCCGAGCCTTATCTTGTGCGAGTTGCACACACACTACACATGGTTTGATTGATTTACACACATACACACACACACACACACACACACACACACGCGCACTTATTATAAATCTAGGGGCTGCTAACTCTTCATAATGTCAGTAATATTCTCATCTATCTACACAGGTAGGGCGTGGTCACACACGTGCCCCCGGGAAAATATGCTAGCAATGTCATTTGGTATGATCAATATTTACATCTCTTTCTTTCCATCCAGTACACCTGTTCCACCAACTGTGTCCTTCATTCACGGGTAATTATTGATGTCTATTGTTAATTTCATGTGAAAATCTGAATCTTCCGTAGCCTGGGGAGAAGGGAAAAATGTCATGGTATATTTTATACCACGTGAAGTGGGGATAAACCGTGTGACGGAAAATGACGGGATGTCATGTGGTATGACGTCATAACACGTGACACGACGTCAAACCACGTGATATGACGGCATACTATGTGGCAAACCTTTAGAAAACATGTGATATGACGTTATCAAAATAGTGAGTGGGGATGCAATGACAATTTTTTAAAGCTCTCGTTTCTCACCAGAGTGAATTACATCAATTTCTCACCAAACATTTCAACACTAAGCTATGCAGTATGTAAGGTAGTCTATGAGTCTATCAGGCAAGCATTTCTGATATCGGGAATCGGGATATGTGTCATGGAATGTGTCAAGAGCAGGTAGATTCCTGGCATATCATCGCCAATACTTATAAAAAATGTCCTAATTTGTGTCACTGGAAAGCTGTGCCCTTTATCTCAGTCACAGAAACACAAGGGCTGTGGGGAAGCGTAGTTTACACATTGTTTACACAAAACTGAATTGATTTCAGGATCTTAGTTTGACACGGTCAATCTTTATACGTCTAGTCAATAACCAATTTATTTGTCCAATGTTCAGTGCAGTTCATTATATATTATAATATTATGATATATAGCATAATATATATATTATGTTATATACATATTTTTTGTAAATGGTCGTTAGAAACACCGGCACCGTCCGGGTCAACAACAACAATCGAAAGAGCTTGGTTGAGATTAAGTTGATTATGCAAATTAATGTACACGAGGATATGCGGTATCAACGAAATAGAAAAACTATGAACAGTTATTTAAATTCTAATAATTTGAAATTTCAGATATTACAATATATTTTGCCTCAATTTATGTATGTTTATTTTACTTCATTTCAGGTTAGTGATCTGAGAACGATTAAAATACAGCAGCCAAAAGCTTCACCTCTAAAGAATCTCAAGATTTTAGAACTCCACGCACATCTCAAAATGTTTACTTTTTCTAAGGCAAAAAATAGCATCATGTGCTGTATTATAGCTCTGGTAGCATTATGTGCTATATCATAGCTCTGGAAGGCGGAAGCATCATGTGCTATATTATAGCTCTGGTAGCATCATGTGCTATATTATAGCTCTGGTAGCATCATGTGCTATAATATAGCTTTGGTATCATCATGTGATCTGGTAGCACGAGCTAACGGACGGTAAAATATGTGTCGTTAACGACAGTCAAGGAACGTGTACTAAAAGGTGTGATAGTAGGTGAAGCCAGCTTAGGTATGTGAGACTTGACGCCCGGTCTAAATTACTTAACGAAGAAAAAACCTGACGAAAAATGTGTGAGCTCCAACGGGTAAACATTGTAATGTGGGTGATACAGTACCTGTGTTGTTGGTGCTAAATGACGTCATGTACCAAGTCACACTACTAGAAACGCCGTAAAATCACGTAACATGTTATTATGTATTAAACAACAGTAGTGCGAGTGTCAGTTTATTTCAGACATGTTCAAAATCTCAAAATATGTCAATGAGGGTTTGTGCCAGTCAGACTTTGAATTCCAGACTTTGTTTCCGGGATTTCCCTTCCACAGTAGTATATGTATACAAATTTAAAAAGAGTTTCTTGACAAATTTAAATTTGAATACCATTTAAACTGGTCCATTTTGTGAAGTTTCACTGAGAAGTTGTGAAACATAATGTATGTACTATATAGGTAATGTGCGGGTAATTGTGAAAAGATGCGAGAAAAGTAGAACTGTGAATGCAGCGTAACAGTGAACAAAATACAACGTGACATGACGTCACACCAACCCGGTTGGGGACCCTATTATTTTTTGAACGGTATTCCACTCCTCGTGACATGACGTCAAACCACGTGACATGAAGTCACGCCACGTACACGACGTACGTACGTGGAACATGACGTCTACCTCGTGACATGAGGTTCCACTACGTGACATGGCGTCACACCACGTGACAAGACGTCACACACGTGACATAGACGTCACTCCACGTGACATGACGTAACACTAAGTGAATTTATATATATATATATTATATACAGCTGAACAGTAAACAGTAAACAGTAAACATACTGCAATATTATAGAAAAGTGAGTACGCCAGTCCTGTTGATACATTTTATTTTGAACTGCTTGACGATGTCTGTTCTTAAATTACTATTAGTATATTATATATTACAATTACACTTGTATGTTTTATAAAGCATAACGGCAATTAATACTTTCCTTACACTTCAATTGTTAATTAACGTCAATACACGTTGTATGATTTCATACCACGTGTTGTGACGTCACAACACGTGGTATGACGTCATGTCACGTGTTTAATAAAGAATTATGGTAATTACTATTAGCCTCATACTAATCATTAATTGTACAGTAAACGAATAAGGACATAATAACGATTATATTGTTGGCGCCAAACAGCTGTGAGTGCGTTTGAATGCGGCTTAGTTTATATTTTTATTCAACATCAAACATAAATATTAAATATAATTTTGTGATCGATAATATACATTTATGAAGCCGGTTACTACACTGCAATTCGCTGGTTAGCCTAGTTATATACAGGAACGAACATGAGTCTCAACGACGTGATGTGACGTCACACCACGTGATGTGACGTCACACAACGTGTGATACGACATTACAAAAAGACATTATAATGAAATACTAATACTAATACCAATGATTAACCAGATATGAACTGCCTGTTAAGCTGTTACACCATTGGATGACCTTATCTAAAACTTAACGTATAACCTAGGTCATAAGATGATTGATAACTTAACTGATAACTTATCTCTTAACTTACTAACTAATTAGCTTAATTACACCATTATGTACCGCTGAAACTCCTTCGAAGGTTATTTCTATTGCCGTCCCCATCGGTATCTGCTATCAATATAGTCTTGTCAACTATCTGTTGTAGCTGAACGTCCTTTAGGTTCGTACCCACCATCATCTTTAACACCTGGAATATGAATGACTATAACAAATAATTCTCTAATTAACTAGTTGACTAATTGACTTTAAACGACTACCAAAATGAGAGTTAATTTGCCAAAATTATACACTGAGAATTGAGATCCTTTTTTGTGAAAAAATTAACTAAAATTCGGGTTATGGGAAACCTTATTTTAATTTCTATTTCTTTAAAATTTCATGTTTATTCTGATTTTCTGATAAGTAGAGCTGATAAAATCAGCTACCTCATTTAGAGTGCATGCGATGTGATCCTCATCATTAGGGTCATTAACATGTAACCTGATTTCATGGCGTTCATTGGAAAAACTTGCGATGTGATCTACACGAAGGTGTCCGATAACCATGGTGTCAGGGATCAGGGGGGGGGGGGGGGCGGGGGGGGGGGGGGGGGGGGGGGGGGGGGGGGGTTCAGTGCTTGTTAATGTTCTCACACCATGCTTACCAAGTTAATTCCCCCTAGTATATAAGCCACCCAGCTCCACATACGTCATATCTACTGTCAACTATTACGTTTACACTTCAACTAAACGACAAAACAGCTTTACTACAATTCAACATGGGACAATGCTATCCTTCCAAAAAAAACTAAACCCTAAATCCACCTTCTCCGATCATCCTGCTCACCACCGTTCTGTGATCCTCACAGCTCCAAAGAAGTCCTCCACCAGACGTCCTCACCACTCTCACCCTCCGCATAACTTCCAAACCATGTACAAGAGGAGCCAGATTGTAAACAAGCAACTGTTCCTCAACAGTGGCTTTGTGGAGGACGACTACATTTACTCTCCCTTCAACCCAGAACCTTCTAACATTTCTGAAGAACAGATCTCAAACAGAACAGACACCAGTACACGCAACCAACATGTTGTCTCTGCTACATTCGCCTACACAGTGTCAACTGAATCAACCTGCAATCCTCACTTTAGACTAAGGACTGATAATACGATACCTAAAAAACTTGTATTCGACATCACGGAGCGGACCAACTCTATCCCTAACTGCACCACATTTATCACGGTCATGTCTGATGATAATCCTAGTTCTCCCAGAACTGTAGCAGAGAATCACGTCCTTCCTATCCTCGCCTCGGATAACTACCATTTCAGAACACCAGCTGAAGACTTCATGGAGAACCACCCTTTTGGGGCAGGGTCATCACAGAGAACGCTTGCAGAGGACCATGTGCTGCCGATACTGACGAGAGTTTCCTTGGATAGCATGGAATCTACTGATTGTGCTGGTACACCTACAAGTGGTGGAAGAGATGGTGGAGACGAGCTCATGGAGACACTAGCTTACTTCTGAAGTCTGCTTGTTTTAGTGAACCATTTTATTATTTGTGAATATTTTTTGATTTAAAATGATTACCCAAAATTATGTCTAATCAATTATAAACAAGTGCTCTGGCAATAAAAAGAAAAATTGACATAGCATGGATAATAATGGGAAGGTTCGGTCAGAAAGTACATCTTGTTTGTGAATACTAGGTCCATCTGGTACAGTCTAATACATTGTATCCTTGATAGTTGATACCAACCTAACAACACAATTAACATACTAAATATGAGCAATAAATATTACACATCAAAAAATCAATATACCGTAGTATATATTACACATGTTATCAGTGATACATGTGGCAATTGGCTTACATCACAGCGTCTTACCATTACAAAAACTTGGTATTTTTAACTAGAATTGTTGGCACCCTTTGTGTGAGTGTAACCTAGTGTTGAATAACCGTGAACTTGTTTTTAAACTATTTCTGTGTATGTGACTTTGTAACTTGCCATGGGAGGGGTATGCTGTGTATGTGAATTTGTTACACATAATTAAGGGGGCAGTCTGGGGCTTATCTGTATTTTACCGCTTTTGATAATTCACAAGCTTGTCCACTAGGGCTTTATTGAGAAAATAAGTTTATTGGCATAACCCTATTACTAATTTATGTTCCCTACTATTGCCGAAGGCAAAAAGATTTTAGGGAATAAGTAATCGGATTTGGATATATGAGGTGGCCCGACGGCGCTACGTTGACGACAAAAGTCTGATCCTTCGCAATATAGACCACTCCCCCATGATTATGTGTATAAAAGGAGCCTATTTTGCGCGCGACGCCAGTTATGTGTGTTAATTGATTACAGGCATAGCAACCAGTTTTTGGTGCTTGACGACTGTTACACAGGTTTACATCTGGTTACAATTTACACTAATTCATCAATTGGCTAACATCAGGTGATGGGTAAGAGTGTGTCGGACAAGGTGGTGATATTGGGAGCACACAGAAATATCTACCAGACTATCAACTTCAGTACAGACTGTATCAAACACAACAAACTCACTAAGGGTAAGCTTCCTTGAGGACACTGCCTAGAGTCAAATATCAAATCGATAAGGAGCACACCCCTCCCCCCTACAGAAGGAATCCCCAACAAAATTTGCTATAAAGCCAAAGTAAATAAGAAACTGGGTGCCATGCCAGTTCGCCGGTTTGTTCCGTCAATTATCCATACTTACATGGAACATTACTGCAATTATTGTTCTGTGCTAGCTTGAACAATGAACATGGGAGTACATTTTCAATAGCCAACCAGAGAACTGCATTTTGGTCACCTGGCGTGCCAATCAAAGATCTCGAATGGCAAATACTGTACATTATAATTATATGTATAGTATATTGTATAATGTACGATATGCTTCTAATTCTCGTCACACAGTTATATTGGTGCTTATAATATTGTTGATTAACAGTGTACATATTTTACAAGTTACTAATCTAAAACGGCTACATACGGCTACATACGGCTACATACGGCTACATACCACTACATACCAATACATACTACTACATACGGCTACATACCAATACATACCAATACATACCAATACATAAGTTACTACACTACACAAAGTTCATGTTATCGGATAAAGTGAAAATATTATGTTCCGGAGAAGCTAAATCCGGACCAGATTATATATTATATTCCAGAGAAGCTAAATCGGACCAGATATATTCAGAAGAAGCTAAATCAGGACCAGATATATTCCGGAGAAGCTAAATCCGGACGAGAAAAATAGGGATATCATTTGGTAGCGCACATGATACATTTACGTGGTTTAGTTAGGATATGATTTCCGGATCATTATGATTTCTTTTACGAGAATATTTATTTGTTTACAGTCAATTAAGCCGGTCTGGCTGGCTAATCAATTGTAACCAATCAGTGAGCTGTATTCTAGTCACGTGACACAAACTAACCAATCAGAGAGCTGTATACTTATCATGTGACACATACAATAAGATCCAGGAAGATTGAACAACTCTTATTAAAGATATGATCCAAAATATACGTGTGTCACAGTACACTAAATTGATGTACAATGTACAATGTACATTAAAAATAAATGTGTACAAACATTTAATGTGACTGTTATAGTGTAATACTTTCTTCAAGTTGGTTCAGACAATAAATAGCAATCACATTTTGATTGCTATTTATTGTCTGAACCGACGTTAAGAAATTATTTCAGTCATCTGACCGAAACTAACCAATCAGAGAGCTGTATTCGAATCACATAACCGAAACTAACCAATCAGAGAGCTGTATCTCTCTAACTGGTCCAACTGGAGACCAGCAATCTGGCTCGAATCTGTGATTACCCTAAACCGTGACGATACACTGAGTCTCATACTTATAATTCGTGGAACATTAATTGTATAATGCACACAACTGACTAGTCAGAGAGCTGTATTCCAGTCACGTGACTCTTGCTGACCAATCAGAGAGCTGTATCGTAGTGTACACGAGTAGTCACACCACCATCTTAATATTCCACACACTGGACTGATTATACTAGCGTAGCCTATCAGACAGCTGTTATCTAGTAACGTGACACAAAACAGCCAACCAGGCGGCTGTTATCTAGTAACTTAGTAACGTGACACAAAACAGCCAACCAGGCGGCTGTTATCTAGTAACTTAGTAACGTGACACAAAACAGCCAACCAGGCGGCTGTATTCTGGTCACGTGATGAAAACCGGCCAATCAGAGACCTGTATTCTGATCACGTGATGAAGACCGGCCAATCAGAGACCTGTATTCTGATCACGTGATGAAAACCGGCCAATCAGAGACCTGTATTCTAGCCATATAAAGTAGCGTAGAGTACTTACTAATAAAGACTCCCAAATTATCCTGTATAATAATTTATTGTAGGACTCGTATTGTTTACAGGTAACACAGTGTACATTGTAATACCATTGAAATGGACAAATTCAGAGCAGGGCGCCATGTACTTTGTAACATAACAGAATGCAGTATGAAAGGTCACTTTGTGTCACGTGACAATGATAGAGCTCTCTGGTTGGCTGGCATCATGTACAATACACTGTATTATTGTGTAAGAGTAACCCACCGTACAGCAGAATGTGTCCCAATGTTACAGTGAAGGAATCTTGCAAACCCACTTATATTGCCACACAGTGCTACCTGCTACAGATGGGGGCCGGGGCCGGGGCCGGGGCCGGGGGAGGGGGGGGGGGGGGGGGGGGGGACTCTTACACCTTACACCACATCTACTCACATCCAGAGGCAGAAAGTTTTAAATTTTCTCCCAGTCCAATGTTTGAAGCCTTAAATTATATTATGCCATAAAAAAAGTCAGGCCTTTTAAAAATGTCTTACATTTCCCTCAGACAGACTGGCGTGGTTATGAAAATGGCCACATATACCTTATCTACCACATCTACATTATATACCTTATCTACCACATCTACATTATCTACCTTATCTACCACATCTACCTTATCCTACCACATCTACCTTATCTATTTTATCTACCACATCTACCATATCTACCTTATCTATAATCTACCTTATCTACTTTACATCGTTACACTTCACTGTGCACTACATTTCCGTGTTATAGAAACTAGCCTATCAAACTGAGCCAAATATATTTTGGTATATTGTATAATATGGATA